GCTGGCAGATATACCACTTTGGCCGCGACTGGTTCCGTGCATATCTCTCCATTGTGATAGCCAAGCAGCAATAGCCAGAGCCAAGAACCAGATGTACAACGATAAAAAAAGGCACATCCGCTTACGGTATAACTTGGTAAGATAATACCTCAGTGAAGGTACAGTCGCTCTGGATTTTGTAAGGTCTAAAAAGAACCTTACAAATTCGTTAACCAAACTACAAACTTCTAAGGTGGTTTATGAGGCATCGGTAGGAATGGGGCTGAGGCCCATTACAAAGTCATTAGTGATGGACACCCAATCTATGTAAAAGGAGATCACTGGAATTTGGTTGAATGGGTAAAAACGAGTCGCTAGATGACTTGGGAAAGCACTATCATTTGTGTCCCATTTCAGATGCCGAGGTAAGATAGTGCTCACTGCAGATTGAGGAGGTTGAGCATAAGTCTCTTAATCAGTTAGGAATCGTGTGAGCAATGCACACTAATAACTGACCTAAGTGAGTATGAAGTGTGACCGCTTCTAAGAGAGATCTAGGGCTGACTCTCGAAAACACTCATGATTCCAAGAGGGGAACAAGGCCAAAATGTTCTAAAACAAAAGAACCACTAAAGAACTAGTGAATTGAGTTGGTTGGCCGGTTAGCTAGTTACGATAAAGAGGAAAGGTTGAAGGAGTCTGACTCCACCCGTACTCTATAACATAGCCTGTTATACCTAAGTGTTGATTGAAGTCCAAAAGGCATCACCATGAATACTTTTCTCACTATGATGCTCAGATTGTTCGATCTTCTTGTAATTTTGAATCTTGTGGGAGATTGTTGGAGGGAGATTCAAATTTATAAGAATCTCTCTCCTCCCTCTCTTGCTTTTGTTCTTTCTTCCCTTGAATGACTCCTTGTCCCATATTGCTTGGGAAAGGAGTGGGAGTGGAGTATATTTTTAGTTTTGCTCCCTCTATGGGTAGGAACCCATAGGAGGAGAGGAGAGGACTATAGATATTCCATGCATGGGGGGGGGGTGCTTTTCACAAGTGCGTGCCGAGCCAGACCGAGTCGTGGGCACGGGTATGTGTACGTCAATGCGCGATGCAGTGAATCATTTTGTTTTATCCAAATTACACCTTTTTAATTTTAAAACGTCTCTTCAAATTTAAATTTAATTTTCAAAAAAAATTGTTTTCTTTTTCGTGTCTCTTCTTCATCTTTGTGCCTCTTTGAATAGATGCACTATTCTAAATAGGCTCTTGTCTGAAAGGACACATCTGTGTCCATTTGGGTCTGAGAGCACTCTATAAAAAGAGGGTTGGCCGACCCAGTCTTTACACACACACACCATTTTTCAACAAGCTTTCTCTGAGAAATCTGAGCATCAATATTCAGTGGTTCGTGGAGGTCTGGTAAGTGAGTGCACGCCTACCAATGGCCTGTGAGCTGTTTTATCTTGGCGACTGGTGACCGGTTTTCAATCACCTGGTTGCACCTTAGGGGGGGAATACGGTTTTAAGGAAAGTGACCAAGTGGCATGACTCAGCCTTTCATCTTCCTACAATTCCTAGTTTCAAGTTCCTACAACAACTTCACACCACTACAACTTCGGTTTGGAAAGCGATTACCAATAAATTACATTCTGCCTCTCTATTTACTATTTTTACAACATACTCTCATATGTAAAGGACACTTAATCTGAATTTGATATAAATCTGGGTTTGTAAGCTACACTATCCTTGAGGGCCATGCTGACACTAAATTTATCCCCAAACCATGCCCCAGTTCGGTATTATTTAACCAATCCTTTCAGAAGTACCCCTTGAGAAAGTCCTCGAGGCTCTACGGTGTACATGAAATTTCCTGGAGAAGGTCATCATCATTCTTCCAAGATGTCAAACACCGATAGAGACCGGTTTTCATGTTCCATCCCAACTTCATTCCCGGTAACAAAGTATCAGATAAATGATCAAAACTCTGCCATAGGTAGCCATGTGGACTAAAATCGCTTCCAAGTTCCATCCCTGATAACGAGATTTCCAGAATCCAATAGCTTTGCAACTAGATTCTTGGCTCGTGTGGAAGAATTCGAAGACCAGAAAATGCTCCTTGTTTGATTGATGAGGATAAGATTCTCATTGTCGGTGATCATTAGAACTCTGGATGAATCTGTAAGAGGATTCTCTCTGTTTGCAACCCAAACATATGTTCGCACTGAGATATTCTTATACCATATCCCCACATATCTGCCCTTAGATTTACCAGGACTGAAGAATACTAGTTCAAAGATTTGTCTAGAGGAAACTTGCGTCTGCCCATCACTGATAGATTTTGGAGTAATGGCATCAGCTGCAATGGAGACATCAATAAATACTGAAATTATGAAGTAGAAAATCAACGAGTAAAATCTATCCAGTGGTCTTTTCTGAGCCTTCTCCATCTCCTACCCCTCGCAGCTCTCAAGTCAGTCAAGTTGAAATTTTGATATTGTTGGAATTTAAAGAGAATTTTCGACTGATATATGGTGACTCAGTTGGTAGGATATTTGACTTGTTAGAATAGAGACCTGGATCGAATCTTGTGCTACCAGGGTTTGGATGGGTTTAGGGAGGAGGAATAACTACCCCCGTTGTGTAGCACCATCATCCATGAAGCAAAAAGAACCTATGGTCAGTGTGAACGACAAGGCTTTTTTTTGACAAAATTACATTCTTTTTTCAATTTGGTACATAAATGTGATCACATATTAGGGGATGTTTGGAACCGTGGTCGTTTTTCAAAAAAATGGTACAACGTCGGATCCATATAGGCGTTTCAATAAATGCCCATGTATCTCATTGTTTGGTTCAACCGATTATTAAAAAATCGGGTATGCCTCGAAAACCAGGACCCCATCGATGCATCGGTGAACCGTTTCCCCAACGGTTGACTGATATGTATCCTATGTGGTGTTTACCTGTCAGCACATACATAAAAAACGGTGATGAAAATCACCTTACCAAACAGCATAGTATTGTTCACTGCTTACATGGCAGCGGATTTTGGAAACATCGATATTTTTTCTTAAAAATCAATCCAAAAAACGCCCACACTTCCAAACACCATATTTATAAAAAATGACAGAAGTCTTCAACTACATTGTATGACGATGTCTTCTATATCCATAGTCAATGTACATAAAAGTCAAAAAAGTGGGATGGCAGTAAAGAGAATAACAAAACTGTTCGGTGGTTGGGTCCATTCGAAATGATGCAATGTCATAAGGAAAACAAGAGATAAAAGTCACTAAGGATAACAGAAAAGTAGACCAACAAACCCATGACCAAGTCTGACATGTCCAGGTGTCTCCAATAAAAGGGTGCTTGTAGAGGTGCTCCTATTGCTTCCTGCAATTCCTCTCAATTTTCAATAGAATGGTATATTCGATAGTTGAATTTGTTGCTTATCTTGTCTCTGAGTTCATAGCTCACTTGTCAACTTCGTCCGTCTTTTTAATTACAAGATGGATAAGTTTGATGTTAAGCCAGAAAGTCCCATTGCCTTGGCAGCTTGTAAGCCAATTATAAAACAGAATCCATGTGAAAAATCAACTGTAGGAACCGTGTCTAATACCGTAAAGCATAAAAAATAAATAAAATGTAGAACAATGTCTAATACCATAAAACATACAAAAAAAAATCAACTATAAGAACCATCTCAATTTTCTTCTTTTCTTTTATATTTTTATTTTTTCAATTTGCGCAATGACTGTTGAAATGGAAGGGCAGCTCTCTTAGATTACACATGCCAGTTTTAGTTTTCTTTCTATATCGATATGACCCAGTTACCTATATTCACTTCCCAATACGATTAAGTTTCTTATATCAAAGATTAAGCTGAATGATCAATCGCCTCCTTGGTAGTTCTCAATAAAAGCATTGATCCCAGACAGACAATACAACACCTCATTTAATCAGAGAAGTAGTGAATATAACTCAAAAACTTTTTTATACAATAAGAGAAAATTTTTTATTAGTATTCTATATTGAATTAACATATTTTTAAAGTTCGAGTACTGAATTGTTATGTCTTAAAGTTCAATGACTAAAGTGGCACTAAACCCAAAGTGCAGGATATTAAGAATTTTACCTAAGAAAAAGAAGAAAAACCCTTATTTTGGGGATTTTAGCGCCTCATTTGGATGAAACAAGGTTGAAAACTTGAAAGGTATACTACCACGGGTGTTATCTGGCCCATTTACTTAGGCCCATAAAAATGGCATTGTTCATTATTTAATAAATTTTCTTTTATTTTTTTAAGTTTACTAGTAGAGGAGCACTTGCATTTGCACGTGCATATCTTAGTTGAAAATATTTTGTGATATCCATATTTATTTGGGTGCCTTTTGCAATATATCTGACTGGTTTGTATGTTGGTACTTTCAATAAGACTATGTTTGGTTTGAAGGAAAAGGTAGGGAAAGGAAAGGAAAGGCAATAAAACTTTTACAAACTTTGAATAGGTTTTTATACCTTTTCCTTCATTTCCTTACCTTTTCCTTCAAACCAAACATTGCCTAAAAGTTTGTTTTTCTGGATTTAGATTGCTTCAACACCCATTATTGGAATAATCAGATCAGATGGAGGCAACCGAACCATACACACGTGTTTTGGCCAAACAAAGGAGGACCCAAATGTCGGTTAAGTGGATCAATTGGCATAGATAGTATAAAACAAAAGGTAGGGGTATTATTGGAATCCAAAAATTACAATATCGACAAAATGAGGGGAAGTGAAACTCACTTTTTTATATAGTAGATAGATTAAGAGAAGCCTTTCTCCACATTGCAATTAAATTAAGAAAACTAAGAAGGTTATGATCACACTACATTCTATGAGTAGACCATAGATCCAGTGATAAGTACAGAGGCTCGAAACATTGAACATGTGATAATTTATGGGCTCTAGGCCCACATGTGGTTTCTCCATCCCCAATTTACAAAATTTAGCCCACAAGCGTAAAATGCAAATATTCATTATCTAGCTTCCAATGATGTAATAGTTGCTACATTCTCAGTTTGGCAGTCCTTGTTTACCAATAAAAAACCGCAACCAATGGAACTCCTTTCTATGAAGAACCCAGGCTGTTTGGGTTGGGGTAATGCTGCACATGAACTCCCATTATTGATCAGCATGAAAAGCACAGAAGCCATGTCTGGTCTATCTTCTGGAATTTGTTGCACGCATAATAAACCCACTTGAATACATCTTGATACTTCAGACACCACACACGACTCCATTATATTTGCATCCACTAGTTCTAAACCCTTGCCTTCCTTCCATGCTATCCACGCCTAAAACAAATAGCCCAAGTTTATTTTTTTGAGCTTTCATTAATAAATCACAATACAAAGACTGGGTAAACAGATCAATATTAATTAGTACAGAAAAAAAAAATCTCTTACTTACATGTCCTAAAAGGTTATGGTGGTGATAGGGATGATGAAACCCTCTATTCTTCTTTCCGGTCACTATCTCTAACAACAGAACCCCAAAGCTAAATACATCGGATTTAAAAGAAAAATGTCCATCTATTGCATACTCGGGAGACATATAACCACTGCAAGCCACAAGAAAGATGCATATACATATATAGGTAAGTTGTAAGTGGGGGAAATATTTGATTCTATTCTATTGGTAAAACTATTATATGATGAATATACAACTTTTCTTGCTAGTAATACTTACTATGTTCCAATCACTCTCTTTGTTTTTGCCTCAATTTGATCTCCTTTGATGATTCTTGCAATGCCAAAGTCTGAAATTTTAGCATTCATCTCATTGTCTAGCAGAATATTGCTTGCTTTGAGGTCCCTATGTATGATTCTCAATCTGGAGTCTTGATGAAGATAAAGAAGTCCTCGTGCAATCCCTATGATAATGTTGAAGCGCTTTTGCCAAATCATCAGTGGAGCTCTCCTATCATGGTCTGCTCAATCAATTTATATATATATATATATATATATATATATATATATATTATGCCTTAATATCTTCAACCAAATTAAACTAAAAAATTTTTAAGGAATTCCAATATCAAAAACAAATTAAAATATATGCATGGAAATTAAGCCAAGGGACCATGTATACCAAAAATAAAATAGTCCAGACTTTTGTTGGCCATATACTCGTACAGTAATATCCTTTCGTCCCCTTGGATGCAACAGCCTAAAAGCTTAACAAGATTCCGGTGCTGAAGTTTGGCAATCAAAGCAACCTCATTTTTGAACTCCTCAAGGCCTTGCCCAGAATTCGTTGAGAGTCTCTTCATTGCTACTTCTTGTCCGGTTGGCAATACACCCTATGCATGGTTGTATATATAGAATAGAATAGTATTTTGAAAACGAACGTTAATTATACATCATTTACATATTTCTTTATATATAATGCTAAAATTAAAGAAGAGGCATTACCTTATACACAGGACCAAAACCACCTTGTCCAATCTTATTTGCATATGAAAAGTTATTGGCACTTGATACTACAGTAACCCAATCAAACAATGGTAAATCTAGCTCTTCCTTCTTGCTTATTTGTTGATCTGTTGAATAAAAAACTAAAAAAGGTTATTAGGAAATGAATTAGAAGAAGATTGAAGAGCTTCCAAAAGACGAAGCCCCTTGGACAAATTTATTCCTTTAAATTATAATGCAAAGAGAACACACTCTTCCTAGCTATATCCTATATTGCAACATTTATTCTATATAAGATGCATGCTTGCTTCGATTTTATGCATATATATATATATATGATAAAAGTTTAATTCAAACTACTTGCTAATTACACATGTCATGTGCTTTTACACTAATTTAATTAAGATAATTAGTAGCCAATAAATTTGACAGGTCCGAAACATTCTTAAATAACATGGTGAGTAGGAGAATAATTAATTGTCCAGCTGGTACAGGAGGATTTCCAAGGTTGGATTACATATTTACATTATTTACCTTTTGTTTTTCTCCTCTTGTTCCGAATCATAAACCAGCTGATCCAACCCAGTAGTAGCATGGATGAAGTAATGGATATCACTACGATTACCAAAACCCGTCGATTTGTCTCATTTGAAGCAGCACCAGTTTGATCTGACAAACACCAAATATTAGAGATCAGAAGGTAATATTTTTCTTCGATAACCACTTCATTCGAGAAATCCGATATGACCATGGATCCAATCCTATACAGCTGTTGCATAAAAACTATTCCCATGCACAAAATCGCCTGCCTAGACTGATGTAACACTCAGTTTTTCAGCACTCTCTATTATTGGACGATTAATTTTGTTGAGTGAACTTCTACTCGACCAGAACAAGAATCCGTTTTCCTTTCTCAACAAACTGATCCAGTTAGGAATTAGCTAGGCCCAGTCTGTTTTTCTCAAAAATTGATCACAGTTGCCAGTTAAAGAATGGTCAATTTCTATGATGCCAGCAGGAAAGTATAATTTCCGAAGAAGCTTTAACCAATCAAATCCCCCCTCCCGGGCGAATTTTGATGAATTTCGAAGGGAGATTTTATATAATTTCCCTTTGTCAAAGTCAAGAAAAAATTGGAATTGGTATACATATCTCTGTAACTTAATTTGAATAAATTAAGCACTTTGCCTACAAAAGCCTTGGCTTTGGTGCTCTATGAGAAAGATAGATAATTAACCTTTGAATATTGAATGAATTTTGCCATAGGCCGGGCTTCCAAAGAAAAAAATTAAGTGATGCTGTAAGTACCTATTTCTGGCGATACCATTGCTGTCCATATGTAAAGGTCTTGCTCAACGTTGCCATCCTTGAACTCTCTGACGTCGATCAAATCCCCAAACCAGATGATGCACCCACTACCGCTCCTATTAACAAATGGGTTTGCATAAGCCACGCAAGAACAGTTGTGCAAACACTGTTGCTTGCATTCCTCCAGGCTCATGCTGTTGTTCACCCAAAATTTCATTAAGTCCGGCAGTTTCACCCCTTGGAGCTTCACAAAATCCCTTCCGTTTTTACAGTCCGACGGCCTCGGCCGCGTACATCCACCGGACCAATCCAGCATGACCCAGTCTTTCGGTGATTTGGGCGTAAATCCATTCAAACACTTGCAGATGGGAAAATGATCAGGTCTACATATCCCATTAGCGCCACACTGGTTATAAGCGTTGCACATATCCTTCAGAAGATCAAACATCAGAACCCATTTTTGCCTCTGTCTATTCCATACATAGCGTTGTAGAGCCCCTGATTGGTTCAGCACGAACCTTGTAATAATGGAATTGGAGTCATCGTTGCTTTCGTACGTGTAATATAGCTCGTCAGCATTAGAGACGAAAATAGGTCTGAAGATTGCACTCGAGTTCCTGAAAACGCCACTGAACCGAAGCCCATTCCATGTCCCAGTTCGGAACATCTTGATTGATCCCTCCCGAAGAACTAATTGTGGTAATCCAATATTATCTATTATTCTGTAAGAGAAGTCCCCTACCGCAGGATCATCCGTACTCTTCCACGACGTCAGATAACGATTCAAATTGGTCTTAAAAGTCCAACCCACCTTCATGCCCGGTAACAGCGTGTCAGACGGGAAATCGAAGCTCTGCCACATATAGCTTTCTGAGTCACCCTCTCTTAGAACAAGATTTCCAGAATCTAGAAGCTGCGCAACTGATGACTTCTTTGCTACTATTGACGAATTTGAAGACCAGATGAGGCTTGATGTTTTGTTAACAAGAACGAGATTCCCATTTTCATCGATCTTCAAAACTCCGGATGTATCGGGAATTGGGCTGTTTCGGTTGGCGACCCATACGACTGTAAGCGGAAGCGGTATGTTCTTGTACCAAATGCCCAGGTACCTGTTCTTGGAACTCCCAGGACTGAAAAAGCCTAATTCGAATCTTTGACCAGAGGAAACTAAGGTCTCGCCATCACCGATGGATTGCGTTAAACTTATAGTATCAGTTGCAATGGAGATCCATGAAAATAATAATAAGATCACAGTGCAACAGACAACGAAGAGCCACGGAACCTCCATTGGTTAATTTCTGTTTCTGGATCCAACTTGCTCAGAGAGATAACCCATCTTTTAGGATAGAAATATACAACTTAATACATAGAAATCCACAGAGGAATTGACCCGCTTGGATGCTACACAGTCAAAGAAGAGAGAGATGGTGTCTTAGATTAGAATGCTAAATTAGCAAGTATTAGTTGACTATAAAACAAGTAGTAAGCCGTAACCTAAGTATGATGAATTCACTTTTGACGCATATGGCTAAAAACGTAAACCATGACTATTTATGTAATGCTCCGGCGGTCTGGCCCCACCACGACGACATTTCATCTAATTCAATGTGGGATCACAATAATACATCAAGGCATTGATTCGGAGCTCCGATCTCCTGTCTCATGATTTCATGAATGATAAGGAAAATATTTCCAATGCACATTTGTGGTGTTTGGATATGCAGGGGTTCAGGGATCAGAGATTCGATTGGGTCGAATCAGAATTTTTAAAAATAATATATACTGTGGGTCATATAAATAATATATATAATATATTTTACAATTTTTAATATGCTTAAATGTGGTAGATGGATGGTAAGCTTCTTAATTTTTAAAATAAATGATTATGGTTCAATCCTTCTAACTTATATTTTTACCATAATGTAATATGTATAATAAATAGTCATTAATTATAATAAATAAAGAGGTAGATTAGTGGTAATCAAGTAATTTGTAAAAGCAAGAGGCCATGAGTTCTAATCTTGTTAATAACATTTTAAAATTTCACTTATGTATGAACCTAAGTATTTTCATGAAACCGGGACCGGTTCACCGATTTTCCAGCTCAACTGGCCGGTCATCAGGTTTTTCTAAACATTGGTGTCGCATGTCCAAGAACAGGGGTACGAGTTCAAATCTTGTTAATAACATTTTAAAATTTCACTTATGTATGGACCTAAGTATTTTCATGAAACCGGGACCGGTTCACCGATTTTCCAGTTCAACCGGCCGGTCATCAGGTTTTTCTAAACATTGGTGTCGCATGTCCAAGAACAGGGGTACGGGTTCAAATCTTGTTAATAACATTTTAAAATTTCACTTATGTATGGACCTAAGTATTTTCATGAAACCGGGACCGGTTCACCGGTTTTCCAGTTCAACCGGCCGGTCATCAGGTTTTTCTAAACATTGGTGTCGCATGTCCAAGAATAGGGGTACGAGTTCAAATCTTTTTAATAACATTTTAAATTTTCACTTATTTATGGACCTAAGTATTTTCATGAAACCGGGACCGGTTCATCGGTTTTCTAGTTCAACCGACCGGTCATCAGGTTTTTCTAAACATTGGTGTCGCATGTCCAAGAACAGGGGTACGAGCTAGGGATGGTTCCAAATTCTCAAAACCCGCCCCCACCAAGCTGGTTCTAGGGTCTAAGGGTTTATCCTACCCAAACCAACCCGATGAACCGACCTTACACTCGAATTTGCCTTGAAAAAAACCCCAAAATACTTTTAATGATGTAAAGATTTAAATCTAAGCACTCATGGTTACAAAGGCCATGGTCTCACTTGACCATTGAGTTAAGTGATTTGATCATTTGTTTTCATTTTACTATTTCATTTTATTAATAAAGATAATGTAAGTTTTAAACTATATATTATATTTATTGAAAGTCAAGTTTTTAAAAAAGAATATGCTTCATTTTTTTTTTGAAGGGAGATGGTAAAGAAAGAACAAGTTCCACATGTAGACCTTGGAGCTGACCCCAAGACCGCCAAGGTCAAAACCGTCCTTCATAGTGTAGGTTTTGATTCCAAAAACCTCTTCATCCTATTCTTTTTCTTCCCATTCTAGTAGTTCTGGTAGTAGTGAGTCTGAGTCGGGAGCCTTAACTAGAGGTTGTCACACTCACAGTCCTTGAGACCGATGCCAACATGGCTAAGGTTGAGGGGCCTGAAGGTGAGAAGGGAGCCGAGGTTGCGGAGGTTTCCCCTTGGTGTAGGCACTATGGCCATGCTGAGATGGCACCACGTCTAGCTTGATCAATTAAGTCCAAACTCTTTTAGGTACCTCGTCAAACTTCTCTACTATTGTCCCATCTATGATGTAGATATCACCTTGCCCATGTTCACGTACTTTTTGCACATGAAGAAGTACTAGCAGGACTACTACTATTGATAGGCTCAATCGAACACCGAGGTGCTCGTCAGAGCCCCTTCTTCAGTCAAGCATTGGAAGGAGGAGTTCTTCTTTGTGCATCATCAAGGGCACTGGTCGTTCCCTACCGAATTTTAGTCTTAAACACCAGGGTGAAACCCAACCAAATGCAGAGCTCATGGCAATAAGGTAGATAATAAGGGTGCACATCTAGGAATGCACCTCATTTATGATGTTGATCTGAGCTCGACTGATGAAGCCCTTGATTGGTTTGTTCTTAGTTTAAGTCCTTTTTTTCTCTTCGGCTTCAAATGATTGACATGCCCTTTGGTCTTGAAGATCTAATCGTGGGTGGGTGAGGCGCATGTAGGTTGCAATGCAAATGAGGACGGTGTTATGGTCCCGCGCGTAGGATCCCGTCACGGGTCGGTCCACGGTGTGAAAGCCCTGCTTCCCCTTGCGTGCAGACCCTATTGTGGAAACCCAATGGGTGATTTGTCCAAGAGACCACCCAAACTCTCCTTTGGGGTGATTTGTCCAAGAGACCACCCGAACTCTCCTCACTCTTTTCTTGGCTGGAAAACTAAATCATTTACTTCAATTCGTAGCTCCTTAAATAGGAGATTACAGAAGGAAATTCCTAATTAAACTCAAACTCCAAATTGAACTCAAACTCCTAATTACCTACTCCAATTGGTAACACATTCTTACTTAAGATAAGATAAAGATAAGGATAAGATAAGATGAGGGATAAGGGATAAGATAAGGATAAGGTAAGCTGGCGGCGAGTTGGCTTGACGTGTCCAGATAAGGGTGGGCTCACCCCTATGAGCTGTCGTGTGGGCCCCGCTCTGTTGCTGTTGTCGGGTGCGTGCGCGCGGCTCATGGTGCTGCTGCCGTGCAGTGCGTGCACGCGGCTCATGGTGCTGCTGCCGTGTAGTGCCGGGCGTGTGCGCGGTGCGTGTTGCCGTGCAATGCGTGCGGTGTGCGCTACTGCTTGGCGGTGTGTGCTGCGCGCTATCGGCGGTGCGTGCTGCTGTGCGGCGCTACCAGGCGGTGCCCGCTGATGTGCATGCTGCTGCCTATGACTGCGCCGCAGTGCACTACCGGATGGTGTGACCATAACATTACACCCTTCCCGGACTACGAGCTTGTCCTCAAGCTCGTATTTCGGATACATGGCTTGGGACTCTACGAATGGATCAAACGGCTGCACACTATTTCTCAGTCCACCAACAGTAAGAACAACAGGGACTGCCCCGTATCTCCATGCATAAAGCTGGATTATTTGATGCAGACCCCAGCCACCTTTTTTAGTTTCCAGCTCCCAGGCGTAACCATGGCTTACAGTGACTACACGATATGCTCTACTCAGTCCAGCCGTAAGGACATTGAAGTGTTCCCCACCTCCTGGGTCATATAGTTTGAAGTAGYTTTGCGGAAGATCCACATAACAAAAATCGCGTACTGGACAACGACCCCGGTGTGCTATGTTGTGGATCACAGGAATGCACCGGGTATGCTTACAGTAGAGAACCTCAAGAGCTGCCTTACCGAAGAGAATCATGCTATTTAAAGTATCCTCTCGGCCTCCCCCATATATATTTTCCTCAATATTGCRAAACATAGGCCTGTCYGTGAACACAAAATCCATGCCATCAATATAAGCTTGAGAGAAAGTTACCTCTATATCCTGCCCCTCCACCTTACATCTCTTGCGCACTCCTGTTTCTTGGATTTCTGCATAGTTACCATACTGTGSTGCYGCAACCRTAACTCTATGTCCACGCCGAGCCAAGGCCTTCGGTAAAGCCCCAGCAACATCGCCAAGCCCACCTGCCTTCATCAAAGGAGCGCATTCTGTAGGTTCTACTATAGTGTTCGTGACATTGTCCCCGGCCAAAGGGGGAAACTTTACAGTTTCATCCTCCGTGCGCTGATCCTTGGAAATAACTATGGCTGTAGGGGCAGCGATCTGTTGTTCGCTGCATGCCTCTACCCAGTCCAGACGGCGTCTGTTGGTGTTGGCGATTCCCTCCGAACTCATTTCTTTATTGGAGAGGAATGCTTCCAGTAGGCGTCGCATCTCCCAGACGTCTTCCCTAACTACACGAACCTCCATGCTGGTTTCTGCAAGTTGGTGTTCCAGTTCGTGGTCCTTGGAAGATAGCTACTCCATATTGCCCATGACGTTTGGCTCTGATACCAATTTGTTTTGGTCCCGCGCGTAGGATCCCGTCACGGGTCGGTCCACGGTGTGAAAGCCCTGCTTCCCCTTGCGTGCAGACCCTATTTTGGAAACCCAATGGGTGATTTGTCCAAGAGACCACCCGAACTCTCCTTTGGGGTGATTTGTCAAAGAGACCACCTGAACTCTCCTCACTCTTTTCTTGGCTGGAAAACTGAATCCTTTACTTCAAATAGTAGCTCCTTAAATAGGAGATTACAGAAGGAAATTCCTAATTAAACTCAAACTCCAACTTGAACTCAAACTCCTAATTACCTACTCCTATTGGTAACACACTCTTACTTAAGATAAGATAAAGATAAGGATAAGATAAGATGAGGGATAAGGGATAAGATAAGGATAAGGTAAGCTGGCGGCGAGTTGGCTTGACGTGTCCAGATAAGGGTGGGCCCACCCCTATGAGTTGTCGTGTGGGCCCCGTTCTATTGCTGCTGTCGGGTGCATGCGCACGGCTCATGGTGCTGCTGCCACGCAGTGCCGGGCGTGTGTGCGGTGCGTGCTGCCGTGCAGTGCGTGCGGTGCGCGCTGCTGCCTGGCGGTGTGTGCTGTGCGCTATCGGCGGTGCGTGCTGCTGTGCGGCGCTGCCAGGTGGTGCCCGCTGCTGTGCGGCTTGTTGTGCGTGCTGCTGCTGCCTATGACTACGCCGCAGTGCGCTGCCGGATGGTGTGACCATAACAGATGGCATCTCAATCATTGGGCATGGCCTTGTAGCAAGGACGTCTTGGCGAGACAACTCAACAATCAAAGAAGTCAAAGTTAGAGGAAGGGAAAGTCATGGAGGTTGAATCGGAGGAGGTGCATCCACAGCACGTCCAACTACAATTGACTACCTGGGGGAGTCTCGAAGTTTAGTCCCATCAGCTCAAGAGGAGGAGGAGGTTTGGACCTACCGGCCGAACTGGAGTGTCTGCTCGAGTGACACTTTGGAGACTGGGGGCGCCCCCAAGTAGTTGGCCCGAGGTATTCTACTATTGGAGGTCTAGAGGGAAGCTTGTAGCCATAAAAGCAGGGTCCTCGAGAGCACGACCATCTGCAACATAGTGGTGGTATAACTCTTATCTTATCTACCCTTCTTTTCCATTTGCTTCTGTTCTGCTTATTGAACTCTTCAGCACGGTGCAAGCTACCTGTGCCATGGCAACTTTGGTTAATCAAATGCGTAGCCTCCAAAAGTTAGCCAAGGCCATGGAAATAGAGAACTCCCACCTGAAGGTTGAGGTGGCTGAGCTGAGGAAGGTCACGGTGGACAAGGATGACGGCTTGAAAAAGATGAAGAGTTGTTTGCATGACTTGTAGGACGCTCAAGACAAGGCTAGGAAGGTGGCCTAGGAGGCTGAGGCGAAGCTAGCTCAAGCAAAGGATGAGGTGGTCACCGAGTACAAGGATTCTAAGGAGTTCGAGATCAAGTTTGACAACTACACTACAAACTCTTGGCAAACCGGCTTTGCTTAGTGCAATACAAGGGTCCTACGTCTGTGCCCTGAGGTGGCCCTGTGGTGGAAGGATTCGGTCCTTGGGAAACTGTGGAGACAATCGGGGAGAAATCCACCCAACTTACCAACACCACGACCGTGTCCAAGGAGCAGGCCCATATTAACGTCGCCACTGCCGATGAGTGATGACTAAGTTGCTTCCTTTTCTTTGTCTCTCTGATGTACAACTCGGGATGCCAAGCTATTTCCTTTGTAAATAACTTTTGTTGAAATGAATGGAAGTTGACTTTTTTTTTTGCTTCAGCTCTGTGCATCCTTCTTATAGTCTATTACTTCCCTCCTTTTTTATTGTTTGTAACTGGCCAAGGATGTTCTTAGTCTTTGGTTGGCTAAGACCGAGAACATAAGTGTGTGCATACTAGGCAAAAAAATTTATCGTTAGACCACTTTAGTTTGTGTTGGTTGAGGTGGTTCCAAGGTCTTAGAGGTCACAATGGGGAGCTCAGTGGCATCTAGTCTTGTAGTCTGTAGAGCCCGCGTTCCTCGGCCAGGTTGGCCATCGTCCTCGATTGACTTTGCTCTGACATAGGGTCAGATGGGTGCTCGGGCATCTTCAGCTCAGTGGGCCATTGTTGACACTAGGAAGAGGAGTTCAATTGTTGCCCTCTAATCATGTGTGGCAGGAGCACCATTCCCACTAAAATGTTAGTCTGAGCTAACATCGAACCTCGACCATTATCGTCTAGTCAGGTCCTCATGCGTGTGTGGTCCTCAGTCATTACAATTCAGTTGGGCCTTAGTGTGTTGTGTGAAATGTGTGGTGCTTACTCAACTCAATGAGAAGAAACTGGATTTTTATTATTTTGAATGTAAAGTACAGAGGGCTTGCCCACCATTGGGCTCGGTGTCGGTTACTAATAGTACATTCTCAGATTACTCATATTCATATTCCTAGGTATTGGCCTACCATTAAGGTCTTCCAGCTTATACGAGCTTGGTTCAAACACTATGGTGACTCTGTATGGCCCTTTACATTTGGGTCTGAGATTGCCTTCATTGGCTTTGAGTATGATCACCTTATGGAGGATGAGGTTAATTGTACTGAACTCTCTTCAGAGAACCTTGGTGTCATAGTACTTGGCCATCTATCCTGACCTATGCTCGATCTAAGGCTTCTTTTAGGAGATCCAATTCAGCATGAAGGTCTTCATTGTTGATCTCTTTGTTGTAGAGCTCGGTTTGGAGCATCGAGGATCCGATCTCTATGGGGATCATCACCTCGGCCCCGAATGCCTGACTAAATGGGGTTTCTTTGCCCTTTGCCTTGTCAAGCCTCGTCTTCAAGCCATGCAGTTGGGTGCGGTTCATGACTTTCGTCTATTTGTTCGTGACTTCGATCTCTTTGCTCAGTGGTCAGTGCACTTCCGTTGTGTAGTGATCTATCCCAAGCTCAACGTAGTATGCCTCAAACTTCTTGTCTATGAACTACGATCTATTGTTAGTGCTGACCACCCGAGGAATTTCAAACCGATAGATAATGTTCCTCCATAGGAAGCCTTAAGTATTTTGAGTGGTGATTTGGGCTAGTGGCTTGGCCTTGACCCACTTGATGAAGTAGTCTATGCCAATGATGAGGAAATTTTTCTATCCAAAGGCGGTAGGGAAAGCACCAAGGATGTACATTCTCCATCAGGTGAAGGGCCACAAACTAGGAATCGGCGTTAATGGGACCACTAGTTGGTGGAGCAAGTTAGAGTGTCTTTGGTAGCAGTCACACCTCTACACAAGTTGAGGTGTGTCCTGCTTCATGGTTAGCCAAAAGTAGCCTTGTCAGAGGGCTTTGTATGCTAAGGTTCGAGCACCAAGGTGGTCACTGCAGATGCCTTCCTGTATTTCCCTAAGGATGTAATTGGCTTCGGTTGGAGGGAGATACTTCAAGCACAGTAGGTTGTGCAATCTACGGTAGAGCTGACCCTGGATGATGCAGTATCGAACTTCCCTTGGCCGATTTTTCTGGTTTCTGTTTGGTCTTCGGGTAGGGTGTCATTATAGAGATACTACATGATGGGGTCTATCCAAGACGACTCCTACTGCACCGGGAAGATTATCAAGGTTGCTTTGGAGATGCTAGAGTAAGCTAGGGTGTCCATCCGAATTATGTCTTCAAGGCCAATTCGCGACGAGTTCGTGAGTTTGGATAGGCATCTATTAAGAGGTTCTTGGCTCTCGGTATTTGCTGTATGGCAAAGTTCTTGAACCTTCTGATGAGCTCATGTACCTTTTGTAGGTAGCTTTCCATAGAGGGTTCTCGTGTTTCGAACTACCTGATTACCTTGTTCACCACTAGTTGGGAGTCGCTAAAGACTTCAACCCACTTCGCTCCAGTTTCTAGAGCAAGGTGGAGTCTGGCTATGAGGACTTCGTACTCTGCCTCATTGTTGGAGGCTTTGAACTCGAATGGAAGGGCATGCTCAAGAATGATATCATTCGACCCAAGGATATTGAGGCTAGCACCATTCCCTTGTTGGTTGAACAATCCATTCACATGCAGCATCCAAGCTGGAGGTGACTTGACTAGGTTTGGGACCGAAAATGTGCACTCGGCCAAAAAGTTGGCCAAGGCTTGTGCTTTTATTGCAGGTAGAGGAGCATAGTCAAGTTTGAACTCACTGAGCTCCACACTCTATTTTATTAGCCACTCTGACACAGATGTTGTAACATCTGCTTTAGGGGCTGGTTAGTCAAACACAGATGTTGTGCACCTAGAAGTAAGGCCGAAGCTTCCTTATCGAGGTGACAAGGGCTTTCTTCATTCCTATTGGAACATAGTTCCACCCTTCAAGCCCTAGCTTCTTGTTGTGACCATACTCCAACTACCAATTTCCACTAGTGGTGGTCCATCCAACCAGGTCACATTCACCGACAATTAGATCTTAATGCACAATGGAAGAGATGGGATCTCCTAAAAACAAAAATTGTGAGTTCATGGTTTTCGCTCAAACTGATTTAACATTCTCTTCATGTACATTTAAATTAGTTATTTTCTTTCTTGCAAAGGATTTTCCAATCTAATATGGGTTTTGGGAATTGCAAAAGGGGGTTGTGAGCCTTTTTTAGATTGTGTTGAATATGATTTTGTTTCAGTAATCCAAGGAATCTTAAATTCAGAGTACATGGTGGCAAGTAAGTAATTCAACCATCTAGGTCAAGTGGGCTAATCTATGATATCATAATTATAAAGTATAAATAAATAACGAACAAAGAAAAATTGGGCATGTCTCTAATGTTTGGTATATATTAATCATATTAAAGACAAATAAGTGTGATAAATAATTATTATTATTCTTATTGATGTTGGAATGAAATATAAATTTAAAATCAATCCAAAAATAAAAATTATTTTTGGTGGTGGCGGGTCAACAATTCAACCTTTTGAGTTAA